AAGAGATTCCTCGAAACCCAACTTTTCTTCGCATATATTACAATAAACCAATAAGAAAATCTTCTAAACCCAATTTTGCTTCATACCTCTAACTGTAACGTCTTTATTACTAGCTTTTTTGACGTGTCATTTCAGTCACTATGGCACTACTTCTCCGCACATTTATGGGACTGTCCACGATGGTGGAAGTGCCATGAGAGGCATAGTTGCAGGATGAGGTGAAAGGTCTTGGTGAATGAATTTCACTGAAGAAAGCGGAAAATGCTAGAATCAGCCCTTTCTTGTTACGCCAAGTACACTTCGGCAAGACTTTTCTTTGGATAGAAGGCGGGTATAATTGCTCCAAGTAGAAAGACGGAATGGTGACTACTTCGACAAGCTTGTCCAGCCGATATGTTGGTGGTCATGTTTGTCCACAATGCCGACGCTGTTGTGATAGAAGCGCAGGACGCTGTTCTAGCACTGGAGGGTTACTCAAGGCCGACCGGAGTTGCATAATAAAGCAGTTGTGTTTCATACTCTAAAATGGATGTTTGACTGGCATAGAGGCCAGCGTCCGCGACACTGTGACCATTATTTTGTCCGACTATCTCCTGTCCTTTTGCCATGTTGTGTTTCTCTAAACAAGTACCGCTTTTAATGTGGTTGTCTCGACCGCTTTTACTTGCATCTTGCAACATCAGAAATGCATTTCTATAACCTGTTTCGGCGGAAACTTTTGCTTTCATTAAGTCGGCTTACAGGCATCTACTCAACCACGTATTTTGGTCTCGCCATTTTCATGTGTCGCCTGCTTGCTTTCGTAGACCTGGGAGGTTTTGTCGGTGTGCTTGAATGCAAGGAAATCCGCGACTATCTGCTCTGGTCGCAAATGAACACATGTTGTCCATCAAATGTGTGTCTTGACCTGCAACCGGACAACCTCTGTCAGCCTCATCAAGTTGTGCCAACTGTATATTTTACAGAAAGCCCACTCAGCCTGCAGACTCTACTCAACCGAAAGGAGGAAAGCGTCAACCGAAAATGTTGCATAGTCTGTATTCTCAAAACTGACTCGGTAGAAATTGACAACCGGTTTGGTAGGGAGGAATAGTGCCTTCTCGGGCCGGACTGTGAAATTTGGCCTACCGATCGGCGTTAGCAGAAACGCACACAGTCCGGTCAAAGGAAATGTGGCGAGACGACAAGCGACATCAGACAACCGGTCGAAAAGGTGTCGAGTTTATACGCTGCACTACCACAACCCGGGTTCGAGTCCCTTTGGGGGTGCTGGCGAGACCCGGGTTAGATATAAACTGCAGCCCGCTTTGAACGAGAGTAGCTTTTGGGAAGCAAGGCTATGTGAAATTCAAGGAAAACCCGAGGCCTACTCATATGCTTGCGGTCGACAAGTTGGAGATGCTGATTGTCACTGGTCCAAGGATGGGTAACCCCAAAAGACCATTGGTACCAAAGCTACCTTTCTGTATCTACAATTGTGCAGCTGGTCTGATTACACGGAGCTGATCGTACACTCACTCGACTCAGCAGTTCCGGAATAGTCCCAAATATAACATAACAGTTCAGAAGTGGGTTTACTTCGTTGTAGCAACTTGGTCTTGTTGTCATGGCGAATTGGTAGAAGGCACCTAGTACGGAGTCCTCTGCCATAGTAGTTATCATAAATCCCAGCATCAGACAGTAAATTTGGTACATTCTCGAACGTTTCGTCAGCATCGTAGTCGGCATCATCAGTGAGGGCTGCCATTCTCCGTACCAAGCTACGAACTCGTCAAGGAGATAAGATAAATCAATCCCTCGACCAACATTCTTTCTGTCCTGGCCTATCTATCTACTCTTTACCATCTTATCAAACAGGTGAGAAGTTGTGAAAGGACAGGAGTTTGTTAAGAGG